TGATCATTCTATCTGGTAATAATCTATCATGCTACATACAATGAAGGAAAAACAATAGTTCACACAACTTATAAACAGTTTAAAAGATTGTTTATGATGTAGTCCGACTCACCGATGACCCACTGGATCCAGATGACATCGTAGCGTCCGGTCTCCGGGGAAAAGTCCTGCAGGCCGCAGCAGAAGTAGTTGCCCACGCGCTGGCCCTCCTCCCCCAGGTACGGCCGGGCCTTGTCCAGGAACTCCTTGGTGACGTCCACCATGTCCACGGTGGTGAACAGGGGCAGCAGCAGGCGCTTGGTGATCCGGCCGATGCCCGCCCCGCAGTCCAGAGCAAAGGCCGTGCCCGTCTTTCCCTCCCCGTCCTGCAGGGGGCAGAAAACGGTAGCTATCAGCTAAGAGGTTCTTCCATCATCAACTCATCATCTTTAAGCACCTTAAGGTAATGCTGGAGAAAATAATTATGTGAGATCTTGTTGAAAATTGAAATATTTTCTAAATAGAAATACAATTAGAGGCAATCCAAAGTGGTTTAAACTTTTCATTTAACTTAAGTTGCAAGTCACTACAATTGAGATTTGGTGATTGGATGAACACTGAAAAAAAAATCGTTGTGCTTCATATAGTTGTATTTGGTGAAATAAAGGCAAAGCGAAATGTGATATAGGATAGTTTTTCTGTTCGCCTTACAGAAAAACATAAAGGATCCCGTAAGAAAATTAGTCCTTGAAAATAAATATATCCCTTTCAGTTGTAATTGTTAAAGTTAATTTGTTTTTTATAAGCAAAATGACAATTCAAGAGCACCTAAGATCATTATATCCCAAGAGAGTAGATTTAATAAAAAAAAATTTAAAAAATTGGGAATAAATATGATGAAAATAATAAATCTGAGCCATTAAATTGATTCAGTATTACAGTAAAAAAATATATAATAATAGGGAAAAATGCTTGTTGAAGCAAGCTGACGTTTTAAAACAACACCTTACACCGAGAAATTTCTTGAGGAAGGCCTTGGATCCGTTAATGTCGATGCTGGAGATGCTGCCGTAGCCTCCCAGCATGCCGTCCACTGTGGGGGCCACGTCCTTCCAGTAGCCCTCAGCGTTGGAGTAGAAGGTGGTCTCATCTTCGGCTATGTCCCCCATCCTGTAAACACCCAGCACAAAAATCACCAAACGGAGCTCGTGCATCAACTGGAATAGATTTGGACAGTCTGAAAATTATGTCCACTTCCTGTTTAATCCCTGAAACACTGGCTACTGCTTTCTGAGACTGAGTCGTTCATATCGAAGAATCCAACTTACTCTTAAGCAATTAAAGCAGAATAGAGCTGAAAATGCAGTGTATTATACCAAAAAATTGACAAAAAATTCAAAATATACATATGTATATGCATGTATGTATACACAATAGAAAAAAGATGAGAAAAAAAAAGAAAAAAGATCCATTCAACTGATCATTCAGGGAAAGAGGAGACAAAATCTAACTAATATCCTGTAGTTTTTCAATTTCTAATTCAAATGTGTCAATTTACGCTCCTTTAATATATTGTTGTTCGCGTTTGTCTTGTATTGGTGACCTTATTTATTCTGGTTTTGTTTTAAAATTCAAACTGCCTTTATTTCGGAAGATGAAAACGGGTGCAATAGAGTGTTTCTGCTGTTTAATGTGGCAGAATGAAATAAATAAAAGGCAAATTCACTTTTTCTAAACCTCCTGTTGTCAAATTCTATGATCAATGGAAGAAAACACCATTGTATGGAAATATACTGCTATGTTTTGTGTTTCTCTGCCATAGTTTAAGGGCACTTTACACCCTGGCTGGGTTTTATGAGAAAGGGTGTGTTACCTGCTGCTCATATAAGGCAAACACACTCACACACACTCTCACACACACACAGCCAAGCAGCAGCCAGATGACCACATTTGGCCAGGGCTCAGCTGTCATCGACCATCTTGTGATCTGGACAGGGGTCACACGTTTCCATCAACCCAGTAGGGAATCAGCAGCCTTACAAACTCAGACTAGAAGACGAGTTTAAGGTGGTTTATTTCCGTTTCGATCTCCACAAATCGCCATCACACCGACAAACCGTTTGCCTTGACCATTCACGCAAATTGAGTTTGATGGGCTTTAATAAGTCTGTCGTAAGCATCGTCCTGTTTCTTCTCCGTTATAGCTCAATAAATAAACCTTCACAGGACAAACTTCGTAGTATTTTATGACCGGAAATTGTAGTTCAGTCTGTTTGAAACCTGTTTTGATTATAAGAACTAGTTCCCAAATGCACGTTGGAGGTTGAGCACACTTGTAAAGTTAGCATAGCCCCTAAAAAACGTAGAAATGATGCTAACTTGTGAACAAGTTGCAAATACATGTCTAATAAATTAATTTATAAAAAGATAATAATTCAAAAAAACTCGACAGCTACACTTAGACAGGTTGAAAACACGGTTTAAATACGCGTCCCTTGGAAGTTCATTACAGAATAAGAAAGCTTTTAAGGCCCCATCGCGTGCTAACTCATTTAATTCCGACTGCTCGAGCCAACTTGAGAGGGTGAACTTCTCTATAAAACTCCGTGACTCTTGACTTCGTTAGAAAAAAACCCATTGACAACACTAACCTCGTCCTCTATCAACGCCAGGTCCCTCTAGCCCTCGTCCACCCGACCCCGGTATCTGTGATTATTTCAGACCATCGCCGAAGAAGTACTACGTCATTTCCTTATTTGGATTTTATGGGGGAGAGGCCGCGATAGCGCCATCTTGTGGCTGATACCAGGAACAGCATGAAATTACACCGTATTAAAAAAATAACTTGAACACATTGGGTGGCTGCTAATTAATAGAATAACAGATCATTTAATAACATTTATTGCAAAAGAACTACACAATAAATACTCTTAGACTTAGACTTTAGATGTACAGAGTGCATGCAAAATGAAATTTTGTTGCATACAGCTTACGACAAGAACAGAATTAAATAATTTAACAGTCTGATGGCAACAGGGAGAAAGCTGTTGTATTATTTTCAATAACTACTCAATGACAAAAATAAAAAAATGTTTATCTGATCAAATATTTTATTCAAATGCACTGTATGTTGATACATCTCATATAAATTCATACAAAGAAAGGGACAAAGAAACTTCAAAATGATAAGTTAATCAAAATGCTTAATTTTCCTGTTTATACTACACCTATTAGTGTGTTGTTTTTTGTGTATTTGTTTGCATATCTTGTTTTTCCATCCTTTTGTGATTGATGCCCCTTAGGAAAGTGTTTTTGTATATAATATATATAAGAATATACATTTTTAGTTGTCTTGAAAGGGATTATTTTGTGTAAGTGTGTTGTTTGAACTGGAAACGTTTCCAAATGCTATGGTGGGAAGTGGTTAACCTGGAAAACAAAAGTCTTGTTTTACTGCATAGATAAACTAAATTAATTAAATAAATACAAGTGCAGCACGGTGCTGAAGTGGTAGGGACTGTCACCTCTCTGCTTTCATCATAGAGAGCAAAGAAAATGAACAGCTAAATTAGCTGTGGACACGAGTGCTCATGTTTAGAGATGTCTGTGTCCTCGTGTTGACCATTCGATGATTTGGGGATCCACTCAGGGTCTATCTGGCCTTGTGTCAGCTGAAGTCCAAATGACCTTGAAGAGAGTGGGTCTGAAGACCAGGATTTAATTATGGCTGACACTGAAAAACCTTGTCAAATATGCACAATTTAGCAGTGCTATTTGAAATCTGTTGTGATGTTATAAACATGATTTTACAAAAAATGATTTTACATTCTCATCTCTGTGAGACACATACAAAGGAGAATGAGGTAAAACACACAAATTAAATGTTTTGAAATATTTATATTTAATTAACATGGCCTTTGTTTGTCACTTATTAAAACATGAAGGGAGAAAGCTCCATTTCTAGAACTATTTTGAGTGGTTAGAGTGTGTCCCTACAGAGGGACAGTTAGACAATTGTGGCAATCGGATATGCTTTAATTTAATAATAATAATAAAAATGATAATAATAATAACAATAAGAGTGGTATTTTCCGTGTTTTCTTCCTTAATCCTACTTTGTCCTGTTTCAAACCAAAAAGTCCTGAATTTCATCATCGATATCGCCATAAATAGGAGAGCAAATAATGAAAAGGCTGTAATCGGGAAAGGTTTGGAAAGGTTATTGTGTATTATTTGTTGTCTTAATTTGTGAATGTGATGCTGTTACAGCCTCAACATGTATTGATGCAAGAAGTCCTCCAAGGAAGAACAAGTAATTGTGATGTGATCTGTAGTAAATTGGCAAAATGCTGATTATGACACATGGCTGGAAAGGCAGAACTACATATTGGTCCCTGATTACCCAACTAATGAGTCATTTTTCATTTCTCAAATGTTCAACCGACCCCTTTTTGGCTGTTATTCTGAGCGGTTATCATTGGAGCTTGAGGTAGCACTTACAATCACATGAAAAAGAAGGTTCACCATCTTTTTAATTTCAAGGTTATACTCATCATGCCATTTAAGGGACAAATAAACCAATTTGGTCCTCACAGGCTTTTAAAAGGCAAATACAACTTCAAATGAACGACGTCTGAAATGTTACAGTCATGTCTTTTATTTTCTAAGATAAAGATTGAGCCAAAATGCAGAATTAGCCTTTTGTGTGAAAACTTAAAAACATCCTTAGTGCTTGGACACGAATTATGAGGGTAAGTAGTGAGCAGCGATGTGATTTCTTAATATACTAGAATAGACATGCAAGATTTATTGTTTTATCATTTACAATTAAAATTTTCTTCAAGTATATTGTTATCATATGTTTAAATGGCAGATGAGGTTAATTTCCAATAAGGGGTTGCAGCTTTGTAAAAGAACCATAGGAGGGCAGTGTAGTATAGAGCTATGGATTCCTTTTATTTCCCGTGAGGGTTTGGCTGTTTTGATGCCAATGCAGGAATAAGTTAGACTTTTATTTTCATCCACATTCACTGTGAAATATTTACCTTTTCCCATTTATCATGTTACACCATTCAGATAAACGTGGATGTACTGTCAGAAAAAGGACTATCTATCAAAATAAAGATTATTTTTGTGTGTGTACGCCAACAGATAATAATCTTCATCACGAAAACGAAGTGACATGACTAAACTAAGCAGGATTCCAAGCCCATTCGGTCGTTAGCTATTTTAAGCCATTAAGGTCCACAATTGTCTGAAAGCCTGGAGCAGTAATTAGCCTGTCGCTGTGTGTGCTCACCAGTGAGGGGAGCTCCAGTGCCAAAAAAAGGAGAGACAGGAAAAAAAAAAAAACTGAAATGGGAATGGAAAAAAAACTTCACAGGTCAGTCAGTTTATCTTAAATATTCAGTGATGAAGATGAATTAATTCCAACACAGTAAAGCCTATTGATCTCGAAAGAAAGCAGAAATCAAGTAAACAACTATAAGTTAGTGACCACTGCTCTTCAACATCGCCTTTGTCTCACTTTACATTTTACACATCACCCAATTCTGCCTGTCTGAAAGTGTCACCTGGTTCGTTGAACCCAAATCAAGAATATACTTTCAAATTAAAAAAAAAAAAATTCAACATACATATAGATTTGTATAGAAAAATGCCAGTTATGGAATGTGTATTATTATCCACCATCCTTCTAAAGTTCCCATGGTAACTGTGTTCATATTTAAATGTTCGTATATGATGTCTTTGGCCATGGATCGCCTATACACTTATCTGGTCCAAAAAGACCAAAAAAGTAGTTTAGCATTAAAGAATCCAACTAAATTTAATGTTGGAAGGAAATTTGATTAGCATTTCAACAGTATCTGCTGGAATTCGGAGTTGGGTTATCCAGTTCTACCTACATGCAAGTAAATTATCTTGTCACTTTTGAGCATCCTGTGCTTTTTTCCCCCAGTTTCTTTGTAAAATCATTTTGCTAACTTTGTTTCTTTGAGTTTGGCCCCTTGATGGTGAGAAAAGTACAATTTAACTAAAAAATCTTCTGTCTTCTGTCTAATGGCGGGCCCACTGGTACACACATGGATAATATTATCAGTATCCCTCTGTTCATGAAAGAAAAACCCACAATGGTCACTGAAATAAACTGAAACTGATAAAGGTGATA